AGCAAGACTTAACAGTTAAAAGGGCTTCCTGCTTTTCCAGAGGACATGAGTTTCATGACTAGCACTTATGATGGGGAGGAGGGTAAATCATAACTGCCTGTAACTCCAGCTCCAGGGGATGTGATGCCGCTGCTGCTATCTTCTGTCCTCCGTAGGTACACACACACACACACACACACACACACACACACACACACACACACACACACACACCTACAACAGACAGTGTGGGGCACTAAACCCAGCTCTGATAAGGAAACAAACTCAAGAGAGGTGAAGTACCCTGCCCATGGCTAGACTTTGTGGTACATATTGGTAATTCCAGGACTTAGAAATCTCAAGCAGGGAGGATTGCCTTGAGTTTGAGGCCAAACAAAATAAACAACAATATCCCCAAACAAATAACAACAAAAACCAAATAATAACAAAATCACACACTGAAGAAGTTGTCAAAGAATGATTTAAAACCAGATTGTCTGGCTTTAAAGTTTTTGTTTGTTTGCTTGCTTTTTGTTGTTGTTGTTTGTTGTTGTGTGTGTGTGTGTGTGTGTGTGTGTGTGTTTTCTTTTCCAAGACAGGGTTTCTTTGTGTTTAGCCATGGCCATCCTGGAACTTGCTCTGTAGCCCAGGCTGGCCTCAGACTCACAGAGATCTGCTTGCCTCTGCCTCCCAAGTGCTGGGATTAAAGGCCTGTGCCACCATTGACAGGCTAGCTCCAAAGTCTTAAGATTAGATGACAACATGGCCAGGGCATAGATGTCTGTATCAGTTCTATTTTTCATCAGCTGGAGCTGCTGATTCAGACTTACCTCCCTGGATGCTGGGTCAACCAAACATCTTTTTTTTTCCCCTGACGCAGGGTTTCTCTGTGTAGCTGTGGCTATCTTGGAACCAGCTGTATAGACCAGGCTGATTCTTGAAATCACAGAGATCCACCTGCCTCTGCCCCCCCCCCCCACAAATGCTGGAATTAAAGGTGTGCACCACCACCACCACCACTGGCTCAAGTACCATTTATACAGTGCCTTTTATATGCCAAACCAACTTTACTCTGCACCCTGCACCTATCATTTGACTTGAACCAATTTTTCCAACTTCTAGCTCAAAGGGCAGACATTCTTTTCCATGTGTTCATCAGTTCCTTCCATTCATCCCCATACCACCTGCTCAGGCTGCTTCCTCTTGTCCAGACATTCATTCTGGTAAGCACATTGCTCTTTGCCTTCTTGTTCCTTTTCACACCAAAATTGTGAAGTGCCTGCTCATTTATTTAACTTTAATTCTAAGTTCAATGAGGGTCTGTTTTGCTCACTATTGCAGCTTTCCATTCCCAGGGTGCTCTACAAATTTTAGGTGTTTAGCTTTTTTTTTCTCTCAAGACAGGGTTTCTCTGTATAGCCCTAGCTGTTCTAGAATCAGCTCTATGGATCAGGCTGCTTCAAACTCACAGAGATCCACCTGCCTCTGTCTCCTGAGTGCTGGGAATAAAGGCTTTCTCCATTACCACCCAGTAGCATCTCTTTTTTAAAGATTTATTTATGTGTTTCGTATACAGTGTTCTGTGTGCATGTATGCCTGCAGGCCAGAAGAAGGTGCCAGATATCATTACAGATGGTTTTGAGCCTCCATATGGGTGTTGGGAATTGTACTCAGGACCTCTGGAAGAGCAGCCAGTGCTCTTTTTTTTTTTTTTGACTTATTTATTATGTATACAGTGTTCTGTCTGCATGTGTATGTCTACATGCCAGAAGAGGGCACCAGATCTCATTACAGATGGTTGTGAGCCACCACGTGGTTGCTGGGAATTGAACTCAGGTCCTCTTAACTGCTGAACCATCTCTCCAGTGCCCAATGCTTAACTTATTTATTTATTAACTGGGTAGTGGTGGTGCATGCCTTTAGTCCCGGGACTCAGGAAGCAGAGACAGGTTCTTCGTTCAAAGCCAGCCTGGTCTACAAAGTAAGTTCCAGGACAGCCAGTGCTACACAGAGAAGCCCTGTCTCAAACAAACAAAAATTGTTTATTGTGTGTGTGTGTGTGTGTGTGTGTGATGAGAGAGAGAGAGAGAGAGCGAGAGAGAGAGAGAGAGAGAGAGAGAGAGAGAGCATGGATATACCAAGGCCTGTGTGTGAAGAGTCAAAGGACACCTTGGTTTTCTCTTTCCACCAAGTGAGTTTGGGGGATTGAACTGATGTCATCAGGCTTGGCAGCAAGCATTTTACCTGTTGAACCATTTCTGTAGTTTCTATTGAACGGACGAATCCATTAGTGAATAAACAACTATCGGGAGTTTTGTGCACATAGTAATTCTATTATTAACTCATTGAACTCTCACCAATGCTCCTTTGTCTATGTCAAAATAGTTTTTTAGGTTTAATTAGTTTAGCTTATGTGTGTGTTTACTTCAAGGTATTGCATGTGCACCATGTATATGCAGTGCCATCAGGTGTCAGAAGAGGGTGTCAGATCCTTTGCAACTAGAGTTAGGGTGGTTGTGAGCCACTTTGTGGGTGCTGGAAGATGAACCTGGATCCTCTGGAAGAGCAACAAGTGCTCTTCACCACTGAGCCATCTCTCTAGCCCCTGTTGTCCACATTTTAGAGAACCTTGTCCACATTTTAGAGAACCTCTCCATAGGGCCCAGACAGACTGAAAGTGGCCCAGTTATGCTTCAAAGTTCAGTCAGTCTCAGCCTAAAGCCACTGTTATTCACACAGCTGCCTTCCTTCACTTTCCAGTCATACCAGGTTTTAAACAGTCACTTGCCAGATTTAGTGTCCCAATCCAAGCCTGGGAGACACCCATCCAGTGATCACTGGGGCCCTGTTGGCACTGCTTACTTGGCAGTGTCAGCCTTTCTGAAGCCGTAAGCTTCAGGGAGGAAAAAGGACTTGGAAATACATCCAAAGCAGTCCTTGATGGCCAGAGCTCTGCCTTGAGAGTGGACAGACCTGTTTGAGGACCTGGAAATGCCAGGTGTGGTGGCTCATACCTCCTATCCCAGCCGGGGAGACAGAGGCAGGGCATCTCTGTAAATTCAGGCCACTTGGCTTACATAGTGTTCCAGGACAGCCAAGAGCTACATGATAAAGAGACCCTGTATCAAAATAATAAAATAAAATAAAATGACCTGGCATTTGGCAGATTTCCTGCCGCCCCAGTGGCAACCTCATTTGACATTTGTTTCTCTACTTGTCATGTCTTTTCTCTTGACCCCTAGAATTCTGGGAACATGTTGACCACATCCTTGGTCTTACTTTTCCACAAGAATATTGGTCTAGCCAGGTGGTAGTGGCATATACCTTTAATCCCAGCACTTGGGAGGCAGAAGTAGGCATATCTCAGTGAGTTTGAGGCCAGCCTGCTCTACAAAGCAAGTTCCAGGACATCTAGGACTGTTACACAGAGAAACTCTGTCTCAAAAAACCAAACCAACCAAACAAATAAGTAAAAAGAATATTGGCCCAGCTGGTGGATAGCAGGGGCCCTATATGCTTAGAGTGACCTGGCACCCTTAGGACTATTCTGACCTGCTAAGGGGGTGGGGGAGGAAAGCCTCTTTCAGGTGACAAGATTCGTAAAAGTAAAAGGAATAGCTGCTAAGTGATGTAGGTTCAAGATTCCAGTTACCTGGGTGACTGTGGGCAAAATTTATATCACAAATTCAGGGTGTTGTATGAAAAATGCATGTTGTGTGTTAGGGTTTATATGTGCTGTGCAGGCCAGAGAATTACCTCAGGGGCTATTCTGGCAACTTCTATTTTGTTTTTTTTGAACCTGGTTCTCTCTCTCTCCTTTTTTTTTTCTGAGACGGGGTTTCTCTGTAGCTTTGGAGTCTGTACTGGAACTCGTTTTGTAGATGAGGCTGGCCTCGAACTCACAGAGATCTGCCTACCAGTACTGAGGTTTAAGGTGTGTGCCACCACAGCCCGGCAGGATCTGACTCTCTAATTGGCCTAGATTGGACAAGCAGGCTAAGCACCTGGGCCTGTGAGCATCTGCCTGTCTCTGCCTCCCTATTGCTGGCATTATAGGTCTGCATTATCGGGTCTGTTACACGTTTTGTTTCAATAAATCTGTGTTCTAGAATTCATGCTTTCAAAGCAGTCCTTTGTTGACAGCTGCGTGGTCGTCTCCCACACTCCCTTTCTAAGAAGTAAGTTCAATGCACTGCAAAGAGTCCAGCAGGCATGACAGTAACAGCGACTACCTCTCTAAGATCCATTCTTCCTTAAGAGGCCTATCCCTGCTATACAGACTTGCTCCAGAACACTACATGAGATGAACTGGATTGTCACATTGTCACCCAGCTGCAGCATCTTGTATTCAGTTAGTCACTGGTCTTGCATCCTCCTATCTCCCACCTAAATGGACTGGAAGCAGACCTGCCTGGGTTTACTGTCCCTATTTTGTAAAACAAAGTGAGAACTAAGAGTCGTTCCAAGTTGCGGAGTGAAGTGACACGTGACAGTGGCCTTTCAGAACAGGCTCCCAATTGCAGGAGTCAAGCTTCAACTGGACGGATACCTGTCCTTTAGGGTGAGCTGAAGCCTATGACTCACACTCCCCACCCAACTTTCGGTCCGGCCTGGGACAAGGCGTGATGGGACATAACTATTTGCAACTCGAGGGGTGTCCACAGAAAGTTCATAGGCTCGGCCCGTTCCTTCCACCAAAAATGGGTTTCTGGACTCTGATAAAAAGAATTCATCTTTCAACACATGGTTGACAAGGTCTTGCACTTTCTTAGCTAACATTTTTCTACTCGAACTTGGGCGTCGATTTGCCATGATATCCACCTTCACTTCATTTGGTTTGCCCTAGCCTCTGTTTACTCCGATTGCGGAAGTCGCTCGGGTGGAGTTCCCGGGACACTACCTTTGAATACGTCTTTTGCGTACTTATTTAATTGGCATTGGGTCCAGACCAATGGGATAGTTGGAAGACCAGGGCGGGTGGGGCAGGGAGCCAATCAGAACGGTTGGCGGGGTGTGGCTGCGTCCCGGGGCGGGGAATCACGTAATGGCGGACTCGGGCCGGCGGAGTGCGGCTAGGGGCGTAGCGCGCTAAGAGGGGCTCCGGCTGTGTGGCAGCCCACGAAGCGGTGGACTGGAGCGCACTACGCGGGGACACGGGCCGGCCGGCCAGCCCTTCATGTCGCTGAGGGCGACCGCTCGGGGTCAGGTGAGCAACAAGTCCTCCCTGGGCGCGTCCGGCTGTGAGGCGCGAGCGCCGGCCGGGCGGCCCCTGCACGGTCCGGGGGGAACCGGTGCGCGCTCTGGCTGCCGCTGCTGCGGTTCGCGTGCTGTCAGTGCTGTGACGACACCTCAGGGGTGGTGATGGCCCAGAGTGCCCTTCGGAGACTTGGAAGGGCCGGCGAAAAGTGTGACGACCTGTGGCCCGGCCACCAGCTCACCGTGCGTTCTTGAGCAAGTCACTTCCGTCTTTGGGCCTCAGTTTACCGTTTGTAAAAAGACTTCGCAGAAGTGTGTGAAACTGTTCAGCAGTTTCCTGGGCTCCTGGACAAGCTCTTCTCCAGGCCAAGCCTCAGTTTCCATATTTGGACCACGAAGCGATTGAAATATCTTTGAGGTCCCTGGCCTGCTAAGCTGGGGAGTGGGTGGGGTACTGTGTGTGTGCGCGTGCGCACGTGTGCACGGAATGGGCTGTAGGGAAAGGAGCCTTGGCTCTCGGGACCACTGGTACCAAAGCGTGGGTGCTGCCCAGATCGTGACGCGGCAGGGCCAGGTTCCTTTGGTCCTTTGAGATGAGGAAGTTTTATACAGTTCTTCATAGATCCAGAGATGATGAGGAAACCCTTGGAGCCTTCGGGGCTACTATTGGCATTTAAGCCAAGCACTAAAGAGGAAAAAAAGCCAAAAAAAAGGGGGGAGTTTATGGTTGACCTACTATGTGCCAAACCTTAGGAATACATTCTTGTTTCGTTTTTCCAGTTGTCCTTGGGAGTTTACAGGTGAGGAAGCTAAGTTTCAGAGAGGTTAAGTAACTTGTTCAGGGCCACACAGGAGTGAGGTGCTTACCAGCGTGAGGGTGTTTCCTCTGGGAAGCACGGGGCAAGGGTAAGTCACTGCTGGTTTCAAAGGGAAGTTTGCTTTGTCAGAAATGGAGGGAGGGCTGTAGCCCAGAGATTTGATTTCACTTCTGCCGTGGGGACAGGCGAGGTCTTGAGCTCAGGGTTATTAAAGCCCATCCACTCTTTTCACTCAGTGACTTAGAAAGGTCCATTTCCTAGTGTTAAATGTCACTTCGAAGTGTGTCAGAACAGCAGAGAATTCAGTTTGAGTCCATGCAGGGGTCCTGCGGAAGAAAGGTCACCAGCTTTTGGTGTACAGACTTCTGGTTCAGGCTGCTACCATCCCAGTGTCTTGTCTCTTCTCTGTAGGAGGAAGAAACTACCCATCTGTTGGTTTAAATTTCTTTGGGTTCCTTAGGGTGAAAGTTTCAATAGCCTGCCTGTGTTTAAGCATAGCATTTCTTTCTTTGTGCTTTCCTTATCTTTTCGGTGAGGGAAGACAGTGGACTTTGGGTAGGAGAGGTAGCTGGGTACCGGAGCCCTTAAGCTTTATAAACCTCGGGAGCCTTGGGTTAATCAAAATAGTAGTTCAGCTGTGGGTATTGTTCTCATCTGTCAATGGTAGGGAGGAAGAGGAAGTTGCCGAGAAAGAGGGCGTTTCTTAGCTGTGCAGCCAATATGTATTTTCTTTGTTTGAAATTCTAAAAGCAGAGAAGCCGCAGCTAAAGGAGGAAGGAAGGAAAGAACTTCTGAATTCTGCTTCCTGTCAAAGAGTTTTGAGAACTGTCCCGGGCCGTGTGGGAGGCACTGCTTGCCCAGGAAGAGGCTATCGAATTGGCTGGACTTTGAGAATGATCTTGTAGATTCTGGAATCTAGAATGAAATAACTTTCAAGTCCTAAATCCTCTCAGATAACTGTTTAAAGAACATTTTAGTGAGTTCTCATTGTTGATTCATTGTTCCCACCATAATTTCCAGTCCATGGCCAAATTTTAACCATGATTTAACTCTGGGCTTTAACATGATCTGACTCTGCTACTAGAAGACGAAGAGCCACCATCACTTGAAAAATATGATGTGTTTGAACATTTGTTTGTATCTGCTATTATTTTCTTTTTAATATTGTTGTTTATTTATTTTCTGTTCTTGAACTAGTTAGTATCTTCCTGCGTCGGACTCTCAAGTGTTGGGATTACAGACATTGGGTACTACCATGTCCCACTTGGTTTTTGGCATTTAAGTTGTTTAATTGTTATTTTTTAATGGCTATGAATAACAATATGGGTATTAGTAATTTGGGTCCTCTGCAAGAGCAACAAGTGCTCTTAACTGCTGAGCAATCTCTTCAGCTCCTTAAGCCCTCTTTTTTTTTAAATTACATGTATGTATGTATGTATGTATGTATGTATGTATGTATATCTGTGTAATTCCAGTTCCAAAGGGTCCAATTCCCATTTCTGATCTCAGGCAGCAGGCATATATGTACATGGTGCATATGCATACATGTAAGCAAAATACTCATACAGTAAACATTGTATAATGGAGTTGATTTCAGGGTTTTAAGTGGAAATTTTTTTCTTTTCTGTGATATTAACCCCCCCTTCCCAAGACAGGCTTTCTCTAGACCAGGCTGGCCTCAAACTCAAAGAGATCCACCTGCTTCTGCCTCCCCAGTGCTGTGACTAAAGGCATGTGCCACCAATGCCCGATTTAACATAAAGCTTTTACGACGGGCGGTGGTGGCACACGCCTTTAATCCCAGCACTCGGGAGGCAGAGGCAGGCGGATCTCTGTGAGTTCGAGGCCGGGCTGGACCGATAGCCTCCAAAACAATACAGAGAAATTTTTGTCTTGTAAAAAAAAAAAAAAAAAAAACCCAAACAAACAAACAAACAAAAAAAAACCATAAAGCTTTTACTTTAGTTAAAATCTAGCTGATGTTCATTTTCTCTTAGGTACCAGAATATATCTTTTAGTACTCTCTCTGTACTAGTTTTAGATGCTAAAATGATCCCCTCCACCTTTTCTTTATTTGTGGTGCTGATGACGGAACTCCAGCATGTCTGCTAAGCAGGTGCGCTTTCCATCACCAGCCCTTTCTGTCACCCCTCTTAGAAATAATAATTTATACGTTCTTTGCTCTCTTTGATTTCTGTAGCTATTGAGAGAAATAGTACCTTTTTCTGTACACCCGAGAGAAAGATGATTTGGGCTAGCAGGATTCTAGAGCTGTTTTTTTTTTCCTTCAAGGTGGTTCTTAGTGTAATATGGGATAATCACAAGAGATGGAATTTGGGTCAATTTTTCCTTTTCTTCTTTTCCTGGTGCTTTCAGACAAAGTCTATTTTCCATAAGCATGTCTAGAACTAGCTATGCAGCTGAGGATGACCTTGAACTCTTGATCCCTGTACCTCCACCTCTCAAGTGCTGAGTCTGGGTTTGTGGTGCTGGGGATTGAACCTAGAATTTGAGTGCATGCTAGGCAAGCACTCTTTCAATTAAACTACATCCTCAGCCATATTGTATGTATCCTTAGGTTTTCTGAGCTACCCCTACTATAGAATGAGGTTCATTCTATAGTATTGGTTGACAATGAAGGATTTCTTCTTTTTATAAGAACCCCCACGATGACATAGATTTTAAGAATCTTGTCCTTCAGAAGACTATGGAACCACTGTGTTTGAAGACTTCAGTTCATTCTATTTGAATGGCTCCATAGTGTCTGATAATAGCACTTTCACTGGGATGTAGGGAGTGTAGAATGGTGGATTGCAGATTGCAAGTTGCAAGTGGAGTAGTGGGATTGGGCCAGGGAATAGGCGTGATTCTCATCTAGACCACCGTTTCGTAAGTGCTGACACTATAGGAAAATAACTGCAAAATAGTGAACTAGCATGCTACATTCTAACATACGCTTGTGATTCTGAGTACATTCTATAAGTCAGTCAGGAGTAGTGGCTGACACTTTTAATCCCAGCACTCTGGAGGCAGAGGGAGGTAGATCTCTGAGTTCAAGGCGAGCCTGGTCTACAGAGTGAGTTCCAGAACAGCTAGAGTGACATAGTGAGAACCTGTCTCAAAACCAAAAAAACAAAAAACAAAAATCAAGTCGGGTAACCATGTCTTATATTTCTTTTGTGTTTGTAATTCCTAAATACCAGAACTTGAAACTGATCATATCAAGATTCTCCATGAAAAATATGCTTGTTAACTGGTATAGGATCTCTGATGTCAATACATAACCAGGTTAAGAATTGTTTATATATCTCTCATTTGTGTGTGTGTGTATTCCTAAATATAAATACAACCTGCTCTGTCTAAATGTTACTTGTCTCTGTAACACACACACACACACACACACACACACGAGGAAAAAAGGAACAAAGCAGGGGTGGTGGGTACTTTGGAGAGTTTGGAGGGAAGAAAGGAAGGGGAAATGATGTAATTATATTATAATCTCAAACAATTATTAAATTCCCCCACAAGCCAGACAAGTTATAAAGCTGCTTTCCCTGTCTGTGCTGCTCTTCATTTCTCCTCCTTCTGCTTCTCCTTCTTTTTCTGAGATGGGGTCCTTGGCTGTCCTGAAACTTGGACATTCAACTGCCTCTGCCTACCAAATGCTGGGATTAAAGGCATGCACCGCCATGCCTGGTTTACTGTATGCTTCTTAAGGACAGAACTTAATGCTGTTCTTTCTAATTTTTTTTTTTATATTTTTGGTTGTGAGCCTAGCCTTTAATGGCTGAGCCATCTCTCCAGCCCCTAATTTTTTTTTTAAATGGAGATTTAACCCAGACTTTGATATGTGTTAGGCAAGTGCCATACTACTAAGCTACATTCTCAGCCTTTTTTTTTTTTCTTTGAAACAGGGTCTTACTCTGAAGCTCTAACTGTCTAAATGCCCTGGAACTCCCTATGTAATCCAGGCAGGCCTCAAACTCACAAGATTCACTTGCTTCTGCCTTCCTCCCAAATGTTGGGATTTAAAGGCATGTGTTACCACATATAGGCTTAATAAATGCTACCAGCGCCTCCATTTTATTCTGTTTTTGTAGTTTTATTTTGAGCTAAGATTTCATTCTGTAACGCAGGCCATTCTTGAATTCTTGGTCCTTCTGCCTGAGCCCCTTAATGTCCTGAACCACTA